CAATAGTTCCAGTTTGGAGCCACAATTGCAGTGTTTTTAAATCATTCATTTTGCCTTCACTGACTATCTTAACATCATATTTTAACTCGTAACTAATCATGGATGTATGTGTGCACTATGAGCATGAACAGAAAAAAAAAAAGACAGAAAATATAAAATGTATTTTAAATTACATTTCAGTGACCTCATTCAACATTTTGTTGTATTTTGATAGTATTATTAGTTTTTAAATTTAGGAGCATAACGTTATGATCTTTTCCCTAAACCCAATCACCAACTATTTTTACTGCCTAAACCTAACAAAACTGCACTCTGTTTTGAAAGAGTCACCGGACGTTGCATATTTATTATTGCTAACTTGACTGCAGAATGAGTGAGTGTTGAAAACATGACGCTGCCATGGCATGCGTATTACACACTTTGGTGTGATATAATGGGTTGTTGAGCAGTTTTCATTTTCATTGTTTCAATGTCAACATTTACTGTATATATAAATCCTTATACACATGCCTGATGACAGACACCAGTGTAGTAATTGTCTAGAAATGTCTGTTAAATGTGAGTGCAATAAAATACAAAGAGTGAAATTGATCTTGTCATTGTCATTTTTGATTTAGTCATTTTTACTTTCTTTTTGTCTCTTTTCATGAAATGTTCATAAGCCCCAACAGGTTTATGAAATGTACTGTCTTTTCGACTACGTTCACACTGTAAGCCTTAACACTCTGATTTGTTGCTCAGATCAGATTTTTGGTTTTGTTTGAATGTTCACATTATTTTTTAAATGTGGCTCATATCAGATTCCAGAGTGAACAGGTCATGTTCCTGAAGTGACCTGTATGACGAATGTTTGTCAAGAGTGATGGAAAGTCGCATAAATTATGATATGACTATTCACACATAGCAAAAATCAGACCTGTATCATGTGAAAGTGGTCCATAGCAGAAATGAAAAGATCAAATTCCCTGCATCGACATATACAAAGATGGACAATATGACAGCCCTCCCAAAGTAAAGCCAAAACATCTATTTCCCCCTCTGGTGTCTGAGTACAGTATAGGTCATAAAACCTGTTACCTCCATGTAAACAGATGGGACAAACAAAAAGTTAAAATATATGCTGCCCATTTTTCCTGCTTGTAACACATCAACTTAAGAACAAAATGTTCACTCACTGCCTGAAATATCCCACCCACTGACAGGAGCCATGATAAGCAGATAACCAGTGTTACTCACTTCACCTGTCAGTGTTCAGTTTGGCTATGTTCACACTGCAGGTCTTAATGCTCAATTCCGTTTTTTTGCTGAGACCCTTTTTTTTTTTGTGTGGTTGTTCACATTATAATTTAAATGCGTCTGCCATCAGACTCCAGTGTGAACAGTCTACGAAGTGACCCGCATGCACAGAAGAAGACGTCATGTCACACGCAGTACGCTGTGTTTACGGAAGTAAATATGGATGCTACACATGTCAACGGTGTCTGCCATGCTTTTGTCCATTGTTTTGATATTGCCGCGTCCCGCCTGCTCCTTTATTTTTGTACAGTGGGAGGAAGTGGAGATGCCATGTCCATCTGCTGTCATGAAATATCAGATCTGGGCCACTGCAGTGTGAATGCAGTCACCTTTACAGCTTTTATGTTCTGTGTCTGTCATATTTTATGTTTACCAAGAAATTCATTGAGTACACTGCCCTTTAGGGGGGTAACAAACTGACACTGACAGTGACTTTCGTAGGGTTAATCACTGCCATCTATCACACATTTTGTCAAGGACAGCATCGGCTTCTGCTCCTGATAGTGAAAACACTCTTTACTAGTAATAATATTACAGTAATAATATTACTTTCTCCAGTAACTAGTAATGTAACTAATTACTAAAACATTTCAGTATTTATATGAGTTACTCCCCCAAAAAACTAGTTACAACTTTTGTTGTCATCCCCTACTGATCTGAAATCCAACAATCTAATCACATCCTTGGATTCATTCTTGTAATTGTGGACACAGGCGTTGGAAGTAGCCTAAAGTCTGGCACCATTAGTTCATATAAATGTTTATAACTTTAATGAATTTCTCTTTTTACTGTGATTTACATGTGTATGCTGGTATTTATGGCAGGAAAGAGATATTGCCTTTTTTTTTAACAGTTCTAAGTTTTAAAATGTTGTTAAAAACCATCAATTAGGCTATAAATATTATAAATAATACAAAAACAATGAACTTCACACATTTAGCTTTTAGTATGACATATGACTATATAAAGAGCCTTCTTCTCAGCACCCCCAGCTCTAACTGACTTCCAGCATTCCTGATGGTGGAGGGAACTAGCTTGGAAGATTGAAATGCTAATGCTTACATCCAGTACCTGGAAATATTCACATGACTTTGATTTAAGCAAACAAAACTAGTCTGAATTTTGGGGAGAAGGGACACAGTTACCAATTTTGTGGGGAGTAGCAGAAACATAATATAACTAGGAGTGTAACTAATTACTGTTGGCAGGGAGTAATAAATAAGAAAGTTTTCCTATTGATTGTGACAGCGCTGTTTTTCCACTAGGTGGTGCTATGTGGATTAAAGTTATGGGTACATGTAATCTTCCAGTTGTGTAGTTTTTGTTCATTAGATCTTCATAACTTACTTGGAAGTTTTGGAATATTGAAATGACATCTAAACAAACAAACAAACAAACAAATTCAATTCAATGCAGTTTTATTTGTATAGCGCCAATTCATAACAGAAGTTATATCAGGACACTTTTCAAATAAAGCAGGTCTAGACCAAACTCCTTATAACAAACCTATTAATTAAATTTTTGCTAAAAGTAAAACTAGTGAAGATGGATTTAGAGCTCTGCATGTGATGGGACTCCTGGGGCTGTCAAAAGTCATACAATCCCACACACATTAGTTAATAGTTCTAAATGCTTTTTTAAAATAATGGTTAACGGTAAATGGACCTGTACTTGTAGTATTCCGACCACTCAAAGCGCTTTTACACTACGTGCCACATTCACCCTTTCACACACATTGACTCAGCGATGACACAACATCGGGAGCAATTTGGGGTTCAGTTTCTTGCTCAAGGAAATTTCGACATGTGCCGCCTTAATGGAGGCCTATGGCCCTTTAAGGCCACATTTCATACAGCTGAGGAAGTGAAGACAGTTGACTTCCTCCGGTGGGAAGAGACGTGAGCAGTTTGACATAGTTACAGTAAGGTGACAGCACAAAGACCACAACGTGTGAAGTAGACATCATATGCTGATATTTTCCATTCCTCAGAGCATCAGCTCCAAACAAACCTGAACCACCTCACCTTGAACATGAAATCAAGTGTGCATGTGGCCCGCTCAGCTCGAAATGTCACACTGTTGCACAATCTCTTTCATGCTGCGTTATAGATAGCTTGGCTGTTCTCCTTTTCACTCTGTGACGCAGGTTACTGCAGCAGGATCACAAAATCAAACTTTTTTAAAATTATTTGGTTTAGTGAAAATACAAGGTCAGAGATAAATAAGAGATTAATACATAAAGGCTTTCACATGTTTTTTGCTGTCAGATAAAAATCTGAAAAACCATTTGAAGACGAGAGCAGCATTTTCTGAAGATGTGATTGCTGTGCACATTGATGAACACTGGTGTTCTTTAATGACTTTAATATCATAAGAAATCTCATTGTGACTTACATGTGCTTATATATAGATATAATGGGAGTGAATAGAGGCCATTTGCATTGGGTGTTTATTCTGACATTAATAAAGCAATTATGCACATCATTTTACATACTTATTTCTTTTTATCTCTTTGTTTAGATATATTTCTGTTGTAGAATGGGAGCACCTGTAATGTAATGGGGAGGAAATAAAGTA